ACAAACTGTAGTTATCCCCCAACCCTCCCAGTTCACCCGAGAAGACAGCCATCACTCGTAACCAACCTAGGTTTACACATCCATACCTAGACCTGACAGCGAAAAAAAGCGTAAACAATGATCTATTATTGATGCTTTCGTTCGATATGGGTGAGTCGCGGCTTAGACTTGTTCCCCGTCGCAATATTCAGTATGTTATTTGTATATATGTGTAACATACTGAATATTGTTCCGTTCCGTTTCTATTTCGTTTCGCACTTTACAAATACCTAATAACTTTACACATATTTTCAGCCGTATAACTTTACATATATATATACTTCAATAAAAAACTGGAACTCCTATCAAAATGAACTAATTTCCAATTATCATAATATAGTAACACAAATTTAAGTCTTACACATACACACACACATACATACAGTTTGTAAAAGTCTAAAGATTTTTACAAAACAGTATTGTTAAAATTATTGACACTGACAAAAGCTATCTGTTCAGCCGATATATTTGTCAACACGATTTTATAATATCATCTTCGTATATTACCATCTTATTTAGTCCCCGTTGCGCAAATCTGTAGACTTTTTTATAATTTTTTCCTCATCTGCGCAGAATCGTCTATTCTAGACCATCCGGTACATATTAAATTTGCTGGTTGGTCTTTTTTATAGTCTCTCTCTCTGATTGATTGATTGTTGGTTGCCAGTATTAACATATTTTACGCCAGACGTGCGTAACTTGGGCGGAATATGGTCCCTGCTGCTTATATATTTTATTATCAACTCCTTTTTTTAAATTTTATATGAAACTGAACAACTTGGCGCACTTATAGTTTAAGTATTTTGTGGAGTGGCCACTGTAGCAGAAAACGTTACCTTAATTTCAAATGACCTGTTCGAACTCCAAACCATGCATGATATACATATGTTACATGCAAATAATTATAGATTATCGTTGGTTATCTCAACGAGATTGATTTTCTCGCTTGAGCCGGTACGGCGAAAGTGAGAAAAGCAATCAAGTTGAGATGACCAATGATAATCTGTTTATCGCTGTTTTACCTATGACGACGTCGTTAATTTCATTGACAACGGGCACGTGGGCCCTTAGTTTCTAGCGGTAATTTTTCATATCACTCGACTCCACTGAGAAAGAAAATTATCAGTCAGCAAGATCAAAGGAAAATTTCGTAAAATAGCGATAAACAAAGATAAGTCATCTGTTGACTTTGACGTCATGCTTCACACTAACGTCACCTGATTATACAAAGTCTAGCATCACCTGTTATGCCAAGTTTAGCAGCAATTCCACATACTAAGGTTATTACATTACTCCGGGTTAAAAACGCCTTTTCAACAGGGAAATTCTGGTTTTATAAGAGCATGCAGAAAACTTCCAAAGAATTTCTAAAACTTTAGAAATAGTTAATACTGCTAGACTATATTTAGATCTATTTACGTAAGTTCTCTCTCTTAAAATTTGATACTGATGAATGATTATTTGTGTTGCATGCCCTAGGAGCACAGTCTTGCTATATCATTGTACGGTAAATTGAGGAGATGAACATGACAAGGATTTAATATTTATATATAAAATAGGCATAAAATGATAATGAATTTTAAGATGGAATGAAATGGGACACAATCAGGGGTAAAAATTTTGACTGCCACAAGAAATGATTGAGAGATGGACAATTATGGTAAGAAAAATCGTCCTCAGCAACAGCTTCGAAAGAGCCTACTATTAATAAATGATGCTAAAGAGTCTTAAGGTTTTTCGAGCTAGGAGCAGGACACTCGCCTAACATGGGCCTGTCATTAATATTCCTTTAAATGGTAGGTTAGGTATTTCTTACATCCTGAATAATCATTGAGGTCATGTGCTACCAGTTGGAGTCATAACTCTCAAATTGTAGAATCATTATCTGTATTCATTTTTTTATACTGCTGTGCCTTTGAGGGTAATGAATAGTAATTTGATCACGAGTTTGTTAATGATTGTAAGAGATCTAGTAAATAGAACAACAATATTTGTAGTTAAGCATTTTCTGGATGTAAAATATAAATTGAAGCATGTAAGGTTCCTTGTATATTATTTGTGCATGTATGAATATATGTGTTAAAAATTTAATGTCAAGTTTACTTAAATTTCCAGAAAAAAACGAAATACTCTCTCTCTCTCTTAGTGTAAAAATAATATGTATTTTTTTCTTCATACAGGTAGTGTGGAAGCACATGCTGCTTCACATTGCTGTAGGCAATATCTATGCCCCAACTGCAGGGTTCATGTTTGAAATATGCTTTGATTTCTGTTAAATAACTTACCAGGTCTGACAGCACTGCATTTGTATATCTTTGAAAATGTAAGACGGTTGTAGAATTCAAGTATAATCCCAGATGCATGAATATTGGGGATTATTATTATCATATGTAATAATTCAAAACTTCAAAAAACCAATACCCATATTATACTGGCTAATTGAATAGGACAATTTCTTTTTGTGGTCTAAACATGCTTGAAATGGGAACCATTATCAATTGACTGTCATGAACCTAACTTGGTTAAGTCACTTTTAAATGACAACACTTTTATAATTTGTGTAGAAAGGATTTTAAATGCATTTATTCATTTATAATAATTGCTTTTGCTTTTCATGTACATGTTTTGGCCAAGTTCACTAAATTAAAAGGGCTTTCACGGTTTGGCTGTGATGCTCTTAAAAGTTATAGTTGTGTTTTGTTTCACAACTTTGGCTTCCCTCACTTTTGGGTTACAGTGAACCTCGTGTGTCATGTTATCATGGTTTATAGTGTACAATTAACATTGGTACATTGATGCATTTATTTTAGAAGCTAGTGGGATCATCCTGTACAATTAACCAAAAACACTATAAAATTCATATAAATTACTAGCTATATCTTTATTATAAGTTAATCATATATATAAACAGTACATTTAATTTTTAAACTATTTCTTTTAAAGCATCTACAACAGAAGGACCTTCATATTCTTCAGGATCACACCAGAAATCACTTGGCTGACTTATTGGTGTAAACCATTTTAGTGTCTTTCCAAGGTGTTTGATTTCTTCATTTTGTCCTTTAATTTCTTCATAATACTGACATATTCTGGCACCTGAAGAATGATCGTATGATGGTGCAAGTATGTCTAAAAATGCAACAGGCCCATTTACTGCTATGAGTTCATGATACGTCCCATGATTAGGTGTTACAACACAGCAATTGTCTTCTGAACTGACGATGGAGTCCTCCTCAAGAACAACTGGTTTAATTGAATGTCTCAGAAAAGGTCGGATTTTACTGGCAATGTTTTCAGGTGGGTTACCGTCTCCGAAATTTTGAGGATCACTGAACGATTTCATTCGTGCACTTCCATGAATCACTTTACAAAATCCATACATCCCTGGGTGATCGTGAAGTGGTATCTTACAACCATCGCGGATAATAAATATTGCCATTGTCATTACTGGGTCTTCGTAAATATCAATATACGATACTGGGGTCTCAGATTCTAACGAGATCTTCGACATGTCAAAATTGACATCTTTGTCTCTGATATTATTCATCATCGACGTGAGAATTCCGACATTCTGACTACTTAACAGTACATCAGAATTGCCACATATCCTTGAAAATAAACGATAAGCAGTTTGGGCAACCTTCTGAATATTTGATACCATTTTATCAGGTAGGCGCTTCAAATCTGTTTAAACTGTATATCAATAAACGGGTATAACCCCAACAAATTCCGGAATATGACGTTCATTTATTCCTTTCATTACAACGATATATGTGACCATGAAATAAATCTTTTATGAATAAGTTTAAAAAAAACACTTATTTTGAATTAACATGACTAGATATGATAACTAGAATCCGGGTCCGTTCGTCCAAAAACACGTTCGCTCCCATTCACGTTCGCCCCCTTTCACGTTCGCACCCTACACGTTCGCACCCTTTTTATTGGTTTTGTGTTAAGTAATTTTTCAATCGTTTTTTGGTTAGTTATTGCTATAAATATTTTTTTTGTTCATTGTTTCAAAATGAAGTGATTTTCTAAAAAAAATGATTTTTGTGTGAATGATTTTTTAATCGTGTTTTGGTTATAATATTGCTATAAATAATTTTTTTTTCATTGTTTCAAAATAAAGTGACGTTTTTTGTGTTGAATATTTTTGTAATCGTGTTTTGGTTAGTGTATTGCTATAAATATTTTTTTTTCATTGTTTCAAAATAAAGTGACTTTCTAAAAAGGTTTTTTGTGTTGAATATTATCTTTAATGTTAAGATACCAAGGACGTATAACTAACATCAGAGACATATAATACAATATATGTCTCTGCTAACATATACGATCTTGAGATACCAAACCGCTATTAAACTCAACAACAGTAACATTTTGAATCTTCATTGTTTTTACTCATACCAAGCTAAATACATGCTAACTACATGCAGAATTTACATCAAAGCTAGTTAAAACAACAATGCTCCAATGGCTATACCAAAGTTACAAAAAAACTGTACGCAATAAAAGTAAGAAAAAAATTAAGAACTGTAAGATGTTGACTTGTATAACGTAGATTGTCTTATCGGTTTACAGTTTGCAGCAATGGAGTTGGGATCCAGCGGCTCTTTTCACAAAATATCTTAAGAGTAAAAATACTCGTAAGTCATACACATTTCAGTATAACTTACGATCAATTTTAATCGTAAGATTTTTTGTGAAAAGAGTCGCAGACAACTACACTCCGGAATTAGACTATTACTTTCACCTACTACGTTTTAAATATTATTCTTCACAGATCAGATGAGCGTTTATCTTGCACCAGGCAAAGGCAACATCCCTCAGATCGTAAGTTTGGTCATTCGGATTATGTTAAGTTGTTGATGTGGTGTATTATTTCTATGATAAAAGCAAGAGAATCTCCGATGAACTTCAACGTTTTAAAAAAAATCGGTGATAGGTCCCCTGCATGTCGACATCCCGATCTGTTGGTTCGATTGTTTATTTTGCAATTTTTACATACTGTTAGAAATAAAGTTGTTAACTGACGATTCAAGATTTATAATGAGAAAACAATGAGCTGGTAAGTGTGTTATAATCCAAATAATGTCTTATTAATTACTGATTTAAATGTAAAAGAGAGGAGAAAGATACCAAAGGGAATATTATTCAAACTCATGCATCATAAGTCGAAAACAAAGCTGACAATGCCTACAAAATACGAAAAACGACGAAAAGACAGACAATAGTACTCAAAACACAACATAGAAAACCAAAGACTGATCAACACCTCAGGTGCCCAACAACTTTCGAGACGTTTCAGCCACAGGTCGTTTCAGCCACAGTACCAGTTCTGCCATAGACTGGTACTATGGCATAGTGATTTCGGCTACAGTAGTAGTCAACTCGGCCACACTTTTTCTTAATTTTATTACTATATACGTTGCCTATAATTGCTAACATCCACTTCATTTGAACTCTGATGGATAGTTGCCTAAATGGCAATCACACCACATTTACTTATTTTTATATAAATATGAGAAATATGAACACCAAAGACTGCATAATATCTGAAAACCATTTATACCAGAGCGAGCTAACTATGGATCTTTGGATATGATTGGTTTATTTTTTTTTATTGAATCTTGAATGCATTTTTGGGTTCAATTTATGCTAAAAACAACGATCTACTTCACTTTTTATGCCCCTGCCATAGCAGAGGGGGCATTAAGTTTTACCCTTGTCCGTCTGTACGTCCCAAAATTGGTTTCCGTTCTCTAACTTTAGTTTGCCTCAACCAAATTTTGTGAAACTTATACACAATGCTTATAACCACAAAACACAGATCAAGTTTGAAATTTGGTGGCGTCACTTTTACCGTTCTAGACACTACAAACCAGTAAAAGTCTGAAATGGCCTATATTTGTACTCGACTAAACTGATTTTTACTCGACCAGTCTGAATTGGTCTGAAATTTACTTGATATTACTCGACTGTAGTCTGAACCATACTAAACAGTCTGAACTTGTACTCGACCAGTACTTAACCATTTTATACGAGTCTGAACCATACTCGACATAGTCTTAACCATTCTCGACCAAGTCTGAACCATGCTCGACCTAGTCTGAACCATACTCGACATAGTCTTAACCATTCTCGACCAAGTCTGAACCATGCTCGACCTAGTCTGAACCATACTCGACCTAGTCTGAACCATACTCGACCAAGTCTTAACCAACCTAGACCTATTTTTTGTATCTATCTATATTATTTTTTCATTAATTTAGGAACTGTTATTCATATATATATATATATATAAAATGTATATCACATTTAAAATTAAAATAAAATAAGGTGATCAAATTTCTGGTTGGATTAAAAAAATATCATGTAATAAATTAAGTTCGTAAAATGAATTTTCATATACATGACATCATGTTCACATTGATTTATGCATCAAAAATCAATGTGACCTTTGTTTTGTAAAATCAAAAATTTAATATAATAATAATAATAAAACTTTCATCTTTTTATCCTTGATAACCTTTTAAAAAAGGAAATGTATTCCAAAGTTGCAGTAGAAATTTATTTTAATTAAATTTAAATACGTTTTGTCAAAATTAAAGACATGGCATACAAGAAGCAGTTTAATAAGGTTTAATGGTTTAATTACCTCAGTACAGGTGTTTTACAGGTAAAAAGAAAACCATATTTTTCTTAAACTCGTGTATTACTTATCTAGTGAATTCAAAGGCCTTGTTATTTAAGTTTTACAGGATGTTGTAATTTTCAATGGATGTTATTTAAAATTTATTACTCTCTGACCAGGTATGATCTTTTTAATCAGTGTGCGTCAAGCAGGATATATTACTTTATAGTTTACCCCTAATCAGAAGAAAAATTTTATTCATTTCTTGAATTTTTTATCCCTTTTAAAATATATATATATCCCAAATTATGAATAGGAATAGATATATTTCTGATATAAGGTTAAACAATGTCAGTGATTTTGTTGGCTGTTGTTACCTCATGAAAAAGATAGTTATATAACTATTGTATATAACCATGAAACCTAAGTACAGAAAGTCACAGGACAAAAAGTCACAGGACAGAAAGTCACAAATTTGATAGGACAAAAAGTCACAAATAATTTGTATACAATTGATTGAATATTTATGAGAAAGATCTTGAAATGTTTACTTTTTATGACACATATTCATTTTACAGTTTAGGAAATTGTTCATAAGACTTAATTTGATAAATAAAGATTTATAAAATATTAATCATGCAAAGGATATATTTCTTGGCACCATGAAGCCATTTAAGTACCAAGACATTGTAACATTTTGTTTTCTTAACAATTATTTGATCATTATTGATATTGTTTCAAGAAAAATACAAAAATGTTTTTTTAAAAATAAGTGTTCTATTGTTCAAAGAAAAATAACCTCAAAACTGAATTGTGACTTTTTGTCCTGTGACTTTCTGTCCTACATTCGTTTTTATTTAGGAATTTAGGAAAATCAAGTTTTGTTTAAAAAAAAAACACATGCCAAACAAAAAGCACCTTATTTTTAATAAGGTTTTATTACCCTCAGTATAGGTGTGGTTTTCAGGTAAAAAAAGTCTTTTATTTAACAAGACTCAGACTTTAAAATTAGATAATTTAACTATCTTGATTTGCCAAATCTAAGAGAATCATGTATTATTAAAGAATGTAAAAAATATTTTTATATATATCTTTATTTAATTGTGGCTGTTGTCATATAAGTTAAAGAGAAAGTTATTTAAACAATCAAAATTATAAAGAAGAGGTTATTTGGTCAAGTATGGTTCAGACTGGTCGAGTATTGTTCAGACCTTTGGTCGAGTATGGTTCAGACTGAAAAAATAGGTCGAGAGCTGGTCGAGTACTGGTCCAGACTGGGTTAAGACTGTTTCAGACTGGTCGAGTAATAGTTTAGACTATTTTCAATAGCAAAGATAAGGGTCAAGTACAAATCAGTACAGTCGAGTATGGTTAAGACTGGGTCGAGTAATATTAAGTAAAATTCAGACCAATTCAGACTGGTCGAGTAAAAATCAGTACAGTCGAGTACAGATATAGGCCATTTCAGACTTTTACTGGTTTGTAGTGAGAGTTATGCCCCTTTACAAATGGAAAAATTGCTAAATTTTTCGTTTCCATTCTCTAACTTTAGTTTGCCTCAGCCAAATGTTATGAAACTTATACGCAATGTTTACCGTTCTAGAGTTATGCCCCTTCAAAAAAAATTGCTGGATTTTTCATTTCCGTTCTCTTACTTTAGTTTGCCTCATCCAAGTGTTATGAAACTTATGCACAACATGCACAATGCTTATTACCACAAAACACAGATCAAGTTTGAATTTTGTTGGCGTCACTTTTACCGTTCTAGATTTACAAGCCTTTTTCTGTTCTCTAACTTTAGTTTGCCTCAACCAAATGTTATGAAACTTATACACAATGCTTATTACTACAAAACTCAGATCATACACAATTGGGGAACATTGCTTTTACCATTCTTGAGTTATGTCCCTTCATAATGTTTTATGCAAGGGGGGGCATCATCTGTGTCCCATGGACACATTCCCCATTTATTAAATAACTATCATGTCTTGTTTGGTTCATGTATATTAAAAACTTTTTTTTTATTATTTATAATCAACATTAAAAAAATACTCTTATAACATTCATAATAAGATACACACTTTTATCAATGTGTTTAAATGTATGATTTAATTTTATTTTTCATTTGTTTCTTAACGTCTGCTTCAAAAAACAATTATATTTGCATCCCTTTAAATTTATAACAATAAAAACCATGGCCAAAACAATTTTACAAGTATGGACGAACTGACAGTACAGCCTAAATGACTGTGGCCGAAATGACTATGGCCTAACTGGCAGTGTGGCCAAAACGTCTTGCTACGGCCCTAGAAAGGTAAGCAGATCCTGCTCCACATGTGGCACCCGTCGTGTTGCTGAGCAACTTGCTCATGTAAGTACAAAACCAGTGATACATGTATGTCTAATTAGGTATGTCAAATTTGAGGAAAAGAGTCTACTAAAATTGTGTACTAATCACCTTTTTAACAGCAATGTACAAACATTGTTGAAAAGTCATTTTTATTACATATATGATATTTTTTTAACTCTTAATATAAGTATATATATATATGTATATAAAAATGTGTTAGAAAATTACTGGACTAATAATTTCTCAAAGATTCACTATTGAATTCAAACCAGTGAATTCCAAATTAAAATATTCCTAATCTTCTTATATATCTTATATGTATTGCACTCATAATGATTATTTAAATATTTCATATTGCCCAGTATTACCTTGTATGAATGCTTTTATTCTCATAAACTAATGACATAGTTATAGAGACAATAAGTATGTATATATATACAACAATATAATGTACAGTGCATGTGTGAAAGAAATGATATACATCATTTTTAACCAGGAGGAGAGACTTTCACATTTAAAACAGCTTTAATATATTGACATAATGTTTGTAAAACTGTAATATTACTTGAGGAAAACAATTAAGCTTAAGGTGTTTGCATTTTTCCAACAAAATTCCAGTAAATGTTTTTTTCTTTCAGTGTCTTAACTCTTAAGATTTACAAGACAAAATATAATGATACTAGTCACCGATTTCCAAGCCACAGAGACGACACAATCTATCATTTCTTGACAGATTATGCCATCTCCCTGTCTGGACTGGTAAACAGTGACTTCCACATCTAAATTTACAAAACATATACATACAATTCAATGGTAAAATAGATATACATAGTCTTCAAATTTAAATTTTGTTTTAAATATTCTATAACATATACCTTTAGAGCTTGAGGTAGAATTAATATTTTCATCCCATTCCTGTATAAATTGGTCTTTCAGTTTTTGTTCTACACATTTAGAAATCCTCAAAGCAGAAAAAGAACCCTGTTGATTCCAAATATTTGACATTCCACAATTGTTTAATGCGCTTTTATAGAACATAACTATTTACTCTCCAAACCATAATTATTTGAATAAATAATTAATAACTTATATGAAAGAGAGGAGAGTTTACATTCTTTTCCATGTAAAAGGCAATACCAAAATTTTACCATACAAACTCTTGCCTGAATTGAAATGGGTTATCTACCCAGCTCTCCATATATCATAAAACTTGGGGTAGATTGTTTCAAATGTAGTATAAGTTTGCAGATTTGCAAATAAACTCTTTCAAGTAAATGTATCTCCAAGCTTAAATCAACTGTTGTTGTGCACTACAGCCACTGCAGATATTTATTGTCCCTCTATTGTCCTTATCAGTTAACATGGTTAATGATAAGAATACCGGTACATACACAGCGTAATACAAAAATTCAAAACCTTGAGGAAATCCAAAATATAAATTTATAATTGTATTTCCTTCTTGGGATCAGAATTTTATTGAGATATATTAATTACATATGGTTTACATTGTGCAAAAATAGGTTGCAGTGTTCTCCCCAGGGCCTTTTACCATCATGGTAATGTGATGCTACATGTATATTGCTAGAATGTGATGCTATCTGAAATTAGTTTCGTATAGATATTGTCATGGATGTGATGCTATTGTTTCTAGAAACAAGATGGTATTTCATCAAGATGGTGTTTACCAGGATGATATAAAAAATTTCTGAGGAGAACACTGGGTTGTTGTGGAAAACATCTCAAAGATAGTTTCTTTTCATTATAAAACTCTTTAAAGATGAAAGGCTTATAATAACATACATGTAGTCCCCATTTATTTTCATGATATAATGGTTTATATAAAGGTCTTTTTACTTTGGAAAAACTTGTAATGTACATGTATCTCACATGTCTATAAAGCTAAAATGGATATTACTTTACAGTAAAACTTAGATGTAATATATATGTTTTCTTCCAATCAAAGATAGGTGCTAGAGCAAACTAGAACTTATTCATAGAATGGAATATAATTTACAGAAATTTTTTTGGAGTCATATTCAACAGTATTTCGTTCGTCAAATAACTAAATCTTATAGTTCTATTCAATATTTTGACTACTTTTTAGGAATCCATTCAGTCGACATACAGCTCCAAAAAAGAGTGTGATATCTAGAACTGTAAGTTGATTTTCATTTAAAAAATAGCAAGAATCTATGTCAAAGTATATTTCTTGTTTACTTTACAGAATACTTATATATTCTTACACGTAATGACAATTTTAATGATTTATGAAATTTTCCTCATGTTTTTCTCATGAACTACAAATCAGATATTCTTGAAATTCTTGTAAGCATGCTACACCATGTGATGAGATTTCACTCATCGCTCATCAACTTCCTGTTTATGGAATACTTATAGCCGACAGGGGGTATCATTAGTGAGCACTAGCATTTTTTAGTAGAAAGTCAACTTTTTTAGCCAAGGGTTATGATCAAGGCTGCTCCTCTACACATGGACAGGAGTGACCAGATCGTAACCCTTGGTTAAGGAGGATGGTTGAAATAAAAGTAGAACAGATAAATATCTGAATGTACAACGAATGGAGGTGAATAAGTAGGCCCAAGGCTAACCTCTGGCTCAATATTTTTTATTTGAAAATTTGAGAAACATTTCTATTGTCATTTTCACCTGTTTTATTCATTTTTATTGTAGGAAGAAAGAGAACTTGTTAAAGAAATAAAAAAGCTAGATCAGTAAGTATGAAAAGTATCTGGTCTCACATTTATATCATATAGAAAAATTGAAATAAAGTAAGCCTGTTGTTTTTCTTGCTATATTCTTGTTAAGGTCTGAACCTTAAAAACTATAGAAAGTCACAGAAGATGAATTTCTGTCTTGATGACATATCTTGGATGTAGTATTAGGGATCTTAAAGGCATAAAGGAATCTGTATTTTGGTTGGTCAGTCCGATTATTTGAAGTGTCTGTTTGTCTAAATGACCTCACTTTTGAATCTTTTGTCCCACTTTGTATATAACATGAAGGAATTTATTCTGCATGATAATTTCCTGAATTACCGGTCTAGGTAATTCATAAAAAAAAAATAAACATTAAAACATGGTAAATTATATTTGTCCTACAACGCATTCAATTCTAGTTTATTACTGGCCCAAAGTAATCATTGCTATCATTTAAAGAAAGCTTTTATTTTTGTAGACATGGTGAGACCAGTAAAAAATTACAAAAGGATGCCAAACGATGGGTTGAAGCAAATAATGGTAATAATTCTTTTTGTATACGCATAAAGTTCTGTTGATTCAGTACATGTATTATCTTTTTTTTGTTTGATGACAAATTTGTGGTCATGTGCATTCTCTTCTGTAGGCATTGTACAATGTACAGGTATAGCAGATAAGGGCTATTCCAGGAATAAGTATATGAATGGGTTGGACACCACAAGATATTTTTCTATGGGTAATAGGGGTGGAAGCTAATACCATTCTGTTACAAATGAAAATAAATGTTAGGGTGGTTGGGTATAAAAAATCGGAAAATGATGGACAGAGGTACCAGAATTCGAATTGCCTTATTTTTACCTGCTTAGACAAAGGCAGAAGCAGGTCTAGTAACTGCTCGACTCCTCCGTCCATCTGTCTGTCCTTCCGTCTGAAAGAAAAAAAAACTTTTGTCTAAGTTTTCTAGCCTTCTATGAAGGGGAATGATTTAATATTTGGTCTTCAGCTGGATAATGTGGAGTTGTAGCAAGTAAGCAATTTTTACATCTACCTTGTACCCACTTCCTGTTTGCCGATAGTTTCAAATTTTACAACACTCATTGTACAAGAAAATTTTCGTCAAAGTTTTCTTGGCTTCTATGAAAGAGAATGATTTAATATTTGGTCTGCAGCTTGATAATATTGAGTTGTAGCGAGTAAGCAATTTTCTTGGCTCCTTTTGAAGTGAATGATATTAGTATTTGGTCTGGGAATGATCAGTTTTGCTCCAGTATACATGTTACCTCAATCAATTGCATGCAGCGACACAGGTCCAGACCTGGTATTGGTCCTGTTATTTTAATGGTCAATGTTTACATTTTTAAAGAAAGGTCATTTTAGAATTATGAAACATAATTTTTTTTCTGATGAAAATTTAGCCTGATATAATGTTGAAAGGTGTTTACTTGTAGCTTTACCTATAAATCATTGTTTTAATGAAATTCCGGTTCTTTCGAGAAAACAAAATTAAGTTGTAAGAACTATATATGAATATGTTTCAGCTGTTGCAGGGAGTGAACACAAAATAACACAAGATCTGCTTTCATGTCAGCTTTGTCAGTCTGAACCAGAGTTCTATAAACAGATAGAAGAATGGAACAAAACTGTAGAAAAACAAGCTCAATCTACGAGAGAGTTGGTTAGTGTTAATATGAATTATCTACCCCTTATTGGCAACATTCAAAATACTGAGGAATCATTTTGGTCAGTTTCAATGTTGGAGAAATAGATTTGATGTTGATGAGAAAAACTTAAACGGATAGTATAGATCACTTCACATTTTTAGGCCTAATCAAGACTTGAATTTGGCACAAAACAGCAAGCAAGCCAGGAATAAAAATATATGACAGAACAGTTCATAGTAACTTACAAAAACAGTGTTGCATACCACTGACACAAGTCATGTGAACTTAAATTTTTCTATGTGTTTGTATGTAATATACAATAAAATTTTATGGTATGGCTGTGACAAAATGTTTCCAGTTTCTCATGACTATTCATCATTTCTTTCCAGAATGGTACAGTACAGAAGACCGTTATTGAGCCAGTGAAAAAGTATGATGAATTATACATTTCATAGAAAATTTATTAATTGTACAGTAGGTTGATACATGTGAAACCTAATATTTCCTCACTGCAAATCACTTGTTTTGATGCTTGATAGGTTATTAATGTTTTTGATAAGTATGATTGGCTAAATTTCCCATATTCCTCTATGAAATATATATTGTTTGGATTTACTGTGATTTTTATGTAATCTAAAAATGATGCTCTTCTTTCACTTTGTAAACAAAGTCAAGTACAAAGACTTGGTGTACACATGCATGCTTGAAGTCACAATTAAATTTGCAACGTCAGATATTAAATTGGATGTTCTGTTGGTGTTGCTCACTATGAAATCCAATAAAATCTTTAACAAAGTAATTCTATATGTATTTGTCCACTTTAAATCACGAAACACTTGTTATTTTTACAATGTATTTGCTTCTTCAAATCAAAATGGTTGCCTTTTGAACGTGTCTGCTTTGAACAAAAAAGTTCTGAATTTGCCTGTTAGAATTGTTAGAATCAAACTGATTCTTTTAAGTCAAGTTTTTTTGCAAATTTTAACATGAGTAGGCATTATATTTGTCAATATATTACACCTTGCTGAAACTCTGTACAAAGATATTTTCAAAATAATGAACTATTTGTCATATGGAGTAGGTCCAGTAAGACCCCTTTTTGGCCCCAAAATATAGCAGTTTTACAAAATTGTTAAAATGTAAACTTTTAGCTATTTATTGAGAAGTAAAATACTTCTGTTACATAAATATGGGCTGTTTTTGACCATACAATGCACATATATTGAGTACTAGCATCATTAAGTCATGCTAAATTACTGAAATCTTCACAATTTTAGCATTTGAGTTAAATTTTAGACGGTTTCTGTCTTAAATGGAAGTGGCCGCATTTGTGTTCATTCTTAATATTTAAATGTAAGTTGTATTTGATGATAATACATAACATATATAAAGGTTGAGAGTGAACACGGATGTGGCCACTTTCATTTACGACAAAAACCATCTGAAAAGTGACATATTTTGGCATACTTGATAGATTTTTCATACTTAAGCTTGAATTTGAGCGTCTTTAATGACTACATCAGTTCAAATCTTTCACATAAATTAATTGAATCGACTGAAGTAGACACTTAAGTGTTTAAAAAGTGTCAAAAATCTTTCATCAGATGAACCTGAAATTTGAGGCCAAAATCGGCCCTTACCGGACCTTCTCCTTTTACACCTCGCAGGCTCTCGGTATAAAGAAAAACAATGTGTACCAATGATCAAGTACCAGCTATGCAAGGCCTGTATAGGCAGTCAAGGTCATTAATCAACACAATCAGTATCGTGTTCAAGTCATTGGAATTATAATCTACTATAAAAGTTAAGTAGGTTCACGCTTTGACTGCAATTTGTAACAGACATTTTGTAAAATTAATATTGTTTCAGGTTAAATGGAGTATACCCAAGTATTGACACTGCCATAAAGAAAAGGGAACAAAGTTTACAGGTAAAATAATAAAACAGGAAAATATGTACCCAAATCCTGTGTAAGCAAGTATCTTGTCTAAATTGAACACATCTTTTTACATGTAATATGTTCATTGGATATTAGGAGGACTGACCTTGCATATCAGTGTTTTAGACCGAATAATCTGTCTCTTCATGTTTTTTTTGACATTTCATATTTCCTATTTATCATTTGGATTTTTTTTTTTTTTTAACACGTGTCCAAAAAAAATAAAATAAAAAAGGTCAAAATGAGGAAAATAAAATATGGGAAGGGTGAAATATGGACAATAGACAGAAAAATTCGGTCTAATCAGTGTTTGTAAATGATTAATGATCAGATCAGTAATTAAAAAATTATTATCCAATCATTGTTCATATGATTCATTTTGATAGTGGTCATCAAATCCATATTGTTCTTTTACAATATATAAGCCTAGATTAAATGGTTATTATATATAGGTATGTATAATCATGAATAATTTTGTTCTTGAAAAAAAATTTGCAAATATTTATGAATGCATCTTTGTACTAAGATGAGATATGAAGCACTTTGCAATATATTGACTCAACACAGTGATGGCATGGTCTCCATTAAAATCTATTACATGTATTATTTTTTTTTTGGAAGCAATAAAAACATTGAAACTAAAATTTAAAGAGATCTTCATATAATGTTGAATACAAGTAGTTATTCTGTTTATTTCAGGAATATATGAAAAGTCAAGCAAAACTAGAGAAATATCAGGAAAGAGAGAGAACAGGACAGAATATTGTTAAACTGGAAACTGTAAGTGTACTAAGACATACTCATACAACAAGTCAAGATGAAAATAAGTACATTCAAAAAGGAAAAATAATACCATTTTCCTTAAATTTGTCAGTGATGTCTTCTTGTATTTCACATTATTTGCAGGATTACATATTATTTTGATGTCTGGGAATCATACATTTACTGTTATATTTTCATTATTAACATATAATGGTAATTTCAATATACAAGGTACAGTTTTCTGGAATAACCATCAAATATGCCTTGAACAGAAATTTGCCAAAAAAAAATAATACATGGAATGTTTTGATAGGATCAAAACCAAAAAGGCCTAAACATCATAACAAAACCAAATGTCAGCTCTGTTGTATGTAGGTAGATGAAACTTGTAAAAAGTTATAACAATTTACAAAGGAGGCCTACTTATATATATAAAAGTAATCAATATACAATTATATCATGTTATTGGTTCATGTAATTGGTACATGCTGTTGTCATCTATTCATCAGCATCTTTGTTTTCATACAAAACATTTGTTCTAAATGTTTTATTACATTCCAGAGTAAGAAGTCCTTGATTGCAGCTAAAGAAGATTTTACTAGTCAAAATAATGCTTTAAAGGAAGATATACCCAAGTTTATTGACATGAGAACAGAATATATACAGCCTTCTCTTGAATCCTTGATTAAATCACAGGTATGTTTTATTTTACCACTGATACCACAACATAGTGAAGTTGGTTTATATAATGATCTTTGTTTCCATTTGGGAGCCTCGGTGGCCAAGTGGTTTAAGTAGTTTAACCCTGCATGTGGCAGGTGTGTTCAACTCCAATCTTAATTGACCAAGATTGTCAGTTTTCCTGTCTAAGGACTGTCATTCTATCTGGATACTCTGGTTTCCATCACCAATAAAAACTGACGCCAAGATATAGCCAATAGTACTGAAAGAGGTGTTCAACACTGACAATCAACTAATCGTCCATTCATTCATACATACTCTTGTTTGAGTGCATTTTTTAAGCACAACTAAATAATTATTTGGGAGTGGGGCATTGAATTTGTGAACTCATATCAAAATTTTTCTTGTTTTCTTTTGTATGCAGTCAGTACTGAATAATAAATGCATTCATTATTATATGGCGTGCAACTTCTAATTTAAGATAATTTTGTTTGTAAGTTGACAGATTTAACCACAAAAACCTTGTGACAACTTTCACTTATTGCAGATGCTGACTATTTCAGGTTAACTTGATTTGCCTTTTGATGGCCAATAAAATAGACTATCTGAAGGCAAGCAAATGTTCTGGAGAAGTCGCTTTCTAATGTTAAGTAAACTTTCTAAAGGTTAAATCAGAAATATATTAAAATGTTTGTAATATAAGAATTTTAAAGTCACTTAAGCAAGATTGACACCATGCCTTGTTGTTATTGTATTTTACCATTTTCAGTGAACTGAATAATCTGGGTCAATTCATGAATTAAGCATGTATTTTATGAATATGTGAACTAAGTTTCATGTTGATGTGACCATAACTGTATAGTAAACAACATTAAAACCAAAACTTGTACCAGACTATTAAACAGCTGCATACTAGAAAATAAAATATGACCATTTCCAAACCCTGGCCCAAGAATGTGATTAATAAAGTTTCATTACATTTTTAAAACATGCTGTTCTTACTAATTTTTGTTTTAAGGTTGCCTTGAATGCAGAATCTGTCAGATTGTACACAGAACTATCAGAACATATGGGAAGCAAGGAGGACAATTCTATACAACAGACATTAACAGAGATAAAAGCATTGTCAATAACAGTGGACTGATATATCTCTACCAATAGTTTTTTCTCATGCAGATAATTTCACTGGAATGGAATGTTTCTGATTCTTCAGTTTACTTCAAAAATAACATTAAATTTGTAACACCAACCAGTAAGACCTAAAGGTAGATTTTTTTCAATTATAATGGTGAAAATTAGGCCCAAACAGTTCATTTTATATGCCTTTTTTATTCATGACTAAGAAAATTGTAATGTTTTTTATTTTTCAATTTAATCTTCTAAAATGTTACTAATAAACTCATCATAGATACCAGGATTAAATTTTGGTACTCCAAACACACATTTTGTCTACAAAAGACTCATGGATGAGGCTTGAATAAAAAAAAATTAAAACAGGCCAAATAAAAAAAGTGTTTTAGTGTCAAATAATGAAAGTTATGGTAAATTAATTTATGCATAAGCAAACAATTAATGTTCTATATAAATTTTGTCTCGCTTGAAGATAAAAGAGTTGATAATTTATATTTTGCATACAGATGTTTTAAATACTTCATTTTCTCTCTAGAATTTGTCCATTGTCCTTAACCTAGTTCACATGATTAATTATCTACGTTAAATTTGCAATATCAACTTTTTTATATTTGGTCATTCTAAAACTAGACAGTCACCAAAAACAGTTTGGTTCTTTTTTTCACATTTCAGTTATTAATCATTGCAGAACACTTGTCTTTTTGACAGGGTTAACCTGATTTGACCTTATTTCATGGTTCATTAAGTTTACCTGATTATGTCACTTTTTCTAATACTTTAAATAATGCCTCATCTATATTTGGTATAAAGAATGTTTGTAAGGGGTTAACATCAGTCTGGCATAGTTTATCTGACCTTGACCTCTTTTTCATCATTCACTGATCTATTTTAAAACTGTTGTAAGATAATAAAAAAATGGAGTTGTGGTCGTAAAGAAGGTGCAAATTTTCAGTGCTGTATTCAAAAAGAGAGCGAACTCCTTGAATTGCTGTTTCCATGTCTGTAGACAACATATGTTACAACACTTCATAGGACACAAGGTATAACTTTTATTTGGTCATCTTGTTTTTGTCTAATCAGGCATTATCAGGACAATTTTTCTAAGGTTTTTTATGAGCTGAAGTGGAGTAAAAGGCACAGTTAATGTCAATCATAATACCTACATGGAAACATTACCTTGTCTGCATAACTATTGACACTGGAAAATAAATGGATATTGTATCATTACTGGTATGGTAATTGTAATTGGATCTGTAGATACGTTTTTTAAATATTTTTTTTAGATACATGTATAACAGAAAAATATGTGATTTATTTTCTACATCATTTTCCTTTCAAATGTATTTAAAAAAAATCTTGACTTTTTTTTTAATGAAATACAGTATATATATATATATATGTGTGTTCACACTTTTTTTAGTTCTTCATGTAAAACACATTTCCTGTGTCCAAGTAATTAAGTATGTAAGTTTTTTTGTATTTATGAGTGTTTGTATGAGAAGATTCTCATTTTAAAGTCTTCCATAACTGTGCAATATATTGATTGTTATATGATCATTACTGAAATGTTTTAAGTGAATAAATATTTTGATACATTGTATCTTTGTATGCAATAGTTGTTGACTTGTAAATAGTGTTAAATGAAAATAACTTTTTAAAATTAATGTCCTTTGTCTGAAGCGTTCTTCTGGATTTACTTTCATAGAGAATGCTCAAACCTTATGAATTACAAAATTGCTAGAGCAACCAACATCCCCCGCTGATAAACTGATTTTTTTTATTTCTCATATCCAAGAGGCATCTCTCCAATTAAAGTAATTGGTTTGTGCTAATCTTAAAATTCATTTGATAGTGATCTGTAGATAATTGGTAATCAGTTTCATCTCGAAAGCATCACAATCAGGATTCTGTTATTGCCAGCCAAATGCAAATTCTGACCCCCAAAAGGCTTTGAAAATGTACGATCTGGTGATCTGGGGTAAATGTAAATGATACAATATTTCCAATGGTGACGAGCTTTGTAACTGAGATAACAAAGGATATTTTTGTACTCACTTAACAACTTGTTTAACCTCACCTTTATGTGCCTTGACCAATCTGGACCATGTTTCGGTCATTGTGGTTTACGTACAATGTTTTAAGTTTATTTGAAATAAACAAGTCAAACTGCTCACTGATGATACCCCCGCCCAAATATTTCGTTAAACATGAAGTTGTTGAGTGATGAATCTGAAAACGCATCACACGGTATAGATGACTTATATAAACCCTGAAACCAAATTTCAGAAATCCTTGTATTGTAGTTCCTGAGAAAAATGTGACGAGAATTTTCAACTTGGCTATCATGTGTAAAATGATACAAGTGTTCGGTAAATAGAAAGTTGTTGAGTGATGAATCTGAAAACGCATCACACAGTATAGGTGACTTATATAAACCCTGAAACCAAATTTCAGAAATCTTTGTAATGTAGTTCCTGAGAAAGATGCGACGAAATATTCATGGGACGGACGGACAGACAGAGGTAAAACAGTATACCCCCACTTTTTTAAAGCTGGGGTATAATTAAGTCTTAATGTTATTTACCAGTTTAAGAGAGATGGCCAAGATGACACTTCAATGACTTGAAGTATACTACACCACTCACAAACATGTATGTATGGATTTATAATTTATGAACACATATGAATGCAGTTATGGTACTTGTGGGTATGTCACGACATCTAAAAAACAATTTTTTTTCTTTACAATATGGTTTATTACAGGTTTATGTGTCCATATGACACAATAATCCACATGCACTATCATATTTCCATGTTCAGTGAACCATCAAAAGTGCATATAAAAGAACAAATGTACTAAGTTTCAATTTGATGTGACCACAACTTCATGGTAAACTACCTTATTAACAAACCTCACCAGAAACACACCATCACATGTCTATGTTCAGTAAACAATGAAATCTGGGACAAAACCTATAAAGGAGTATGTAAGGGCTCTTCTTTGGCTCTAAGTATTTAAAGTTGATGCATATCTATGAGAAATCGAAACCAGATAATTTAAGTGGATTTTTTTTTTTTTTTTTTTTATAAAATCCTATGACAGTTATCCATTTCTCAAATAATGATCTTGAACACATTCCATATCACAGGGAGCTGTCTTACATACATTCGTATCCCATATATGTATCTCTCCTTACCCCCAATAGTTGTCTTTCATGTATCATAAATGCAATTTCCCGTCTTTTCCTGTCTAAAGCTGGAACTGCTGACACTTCTGGAGAATATGATTTTACACTGTATTTTGTTGCACTTTGTGTTGCTCAATCATTCGTTTTCTTTATATTGTTATGTTGACTGTTTTTTAAATTGTGCCGTTACACCACTGTCCCAGGTTTAAGAGAGGGTTGGACGCCCACTTACATGTTTTAACCATGCCACATTTGTTATGTGCCTATCCCAAGTCAGGAGCCTGTACTTCAGTGGTTGTCGTTTGTTGTTGTATATCACATTTTTTTTTAATTGTATTGTACATAAATCAGGGCATTAGTTTTCTCGTTTAAATTGATTTACATTTGTCATTTCGGGGCCTTTATGGGTTTTGCTCATTGTTGAAGGCCACACAGTGTCCTGTAGTTGCTTACTCTTCACCATTTGGTCTTTGGTGGCGAGATGTCCCATTCGCAATCATACCACATCTTATTTTTATGTTGTCTTTTTGTAATTTTTCTTTGGCCATTGTGTTGTCTGTTTTCAATTGACAAGGTTTTTGATTGGCCATTGTGTTGTCTTTCAATCTACAAGGTTTTGATTGGCCAGTGTGTTGTCTGTTTTCAATTGACAAGGTTTTTGATTGGCCATTGTGTTGTCTGTTTTCAATTGACAAGGTTATTGATTGCCCACTTAGTATCTCTCTTTTTTTTTTTACAGAAAATTAAAAAGGCAATAATAAAAAGCATTTTTAATGGAAAATAAAGATAAAAAAATCTTACATCTGATCAATCATTGCATCTTACACAGACAATGAAATTAGCACCATATAAATGCTGAAAGGTATCAACAACAAAATGGGAAATCGTGATGCCTTTTATGCAATTTTATATTTACAATAAAAATGCTGACTAGTAGTTCTTGAACAATACATTTAAAAAGAATAATCTGAAACTAGCATTGCTTTCTTTGTGCTATGTGGCTTCTTTTCTTTCTCTTCAATTTTAATATTAATATTTTAAACAAGTTATCCTGCAATTTCATCTCTATGAACACATCCAACATATTTCTTCAGCATGGGTTCAAAATTGTTCTTTGTAAATGCATCCACTGGAATAGACCCTATATTATGATACTGACTACAAAAGTTATCGGTCTGTTATAAAACAACATTTTTGGCAGACGAGAAAAATACTATAAATTATATGCTTTGCGACTGACCCCATACGGATCCATAGAGGGTTAGTACAATCCATAGGGGTGAAGCTGAAGGCCAAATCTATGGATTTTACTAAAACTCTCTATGGATCCGTATGGGGTCAGTAGTGAACTGTATAACGAATTTATCGCACACAGGACTTTTCCTGCTAAGTTATGTATGAAAATAAGCAATGAAATACAAAAACATTCATCAATGACGTCACCATTAATAGTTAATGTAATGTCATAAACCCCATATAAAATCTACTGACCCCTTACAGATCCATAGGGGGTCACCACGTGACAGCATTAAACCAATCATAACGTCATAATTTACCCGAGGTGTGATAATAACCATGATCATTTCACAAGACCATAACAAAATTAATGTGCAAGACTCAAAATGACACAATTGTATCAGTACATATCACTGATAATGTATCTGTGTAAGACAAATAAGACATCTTGTGTAATGATACCATATCTTGGCAGTGATCAATTAAAACATCAAATAAAATAAAACAAAACAATAATATCAAACGCAATGGTAATCAGACTTACATAACATAATATTTATATTTTCCCCAGGTATTTCCTTTTAAATGTGCTGGTTTTATATTTACCCTTATGGTCTAAATGCAAAACATTATCACATTTTCTCATTATAAACAAAAAACTGGATTTTTTTACCATGATAACTGAACTTGATTATTTAATCTGTACTTTGAAATAAGAGAAACGTTTCAGCTTCAATAGTATATTCAACAAAAATTGGCAGTTGTGGGGACAAATATATCAAATAAATTCAACTGTGTTTTTTTTTATAAGACTAATTAATAACCAAGTCAAATCATTACAAAATTTTAAAATACCATTACTTGCATCTTTTTCTAAAGCTGTATAATTTATCTATCACAATTCCTATTTCCAAAACAAAATGTCAGGCTGAATATCACACTTTAAACATTTTGTAAGGAGAAAGTTTAAATCTGAGCAGACTTTTATATTGTGAATATTATCTATGATACAATCATAGTCTGATTGCATCTTATATAACATTGTGAAGAATTATGGATTATTTGCTACATCTAGAAGGTGAATTTATTTTATTAGTTTAAAGTTATCAGGTTTGATGTATGCTTTTCATCAAATTGATCTAAAATTTTTATAAAATGCATTATGAATTTTTTGGAAAAAAATATATCTTAGAAACAAACATTTTCTGTTCATCATGTTTTAAAGCAAAATCACTGAATAGAGAAATCAACTTCGAACAAATAAAAAACATTTTTTTCTCATATATCACAAATGATACATTTAACAATTCAAACAAAACACAAATTTGCGAGCATACTAAATTCATTTGGAAACAAAAACTTCATATTACTAACAGTTTGAGTAAGAAGCACCTTAACTATTATTTGTTGTAGGTAGCACATGATATCTTGAATGTTCATTATATTCATCATGATACTTAAACTCTCTAAACAAATATAGCACATATGAACATCTTAATCAATTATCAAGAATATTGATTTTCAACACATCTTTAATCCCATTACATCTAGCTTTCAAATGATGATCTGTGCTACCATGAAAGTTCTAGGCAGATTGAATTTTATATTGTGTTTTCTAAGAGTGTTAATTTTATATATTTGCAGAGAGATTATGTAGCTCTACATAGACAAATTTCCTCTGTTTGACATATTTACATATAAACAATATGGTCAAAGACCATGCCATCATTTTTTCATGATTGTAACTTTTACATCGCTACACAGCTCCAATGGCTTTCACTGCTGGTACATGGTTTTCTTGATACCATTGGGCTTCTCTTTATTCATATTTTGGAAGTCAGAGGTATATCTAAATTTCTTTAATTTACAATCCTTTTAAGGCTGGTCTATTGTAGGCTCCTCGCATCCTAAATCCTTGACGCCGACCTAAAATAATGCACATCATCAAAATATGTCATAATATTTTCTAAGTCAAAGATCCAAGTATGAGAACATTCAGACCAACAGTTATAAACTGGTAAAGATATTGTTTTATTTGCAGCTTATAGAAGCATATGTAAGCAGGAGTAATGTTTGAGAAGCCATTAAGCCTGATTTGAAAACTACTATAAGGATAAAGACTAATAATTGTATTATCACAAAAGCAAATATTGTTTTTAGATATAACAGGTATACTATCATGACTATTATGGAAGATAGAAAAAAAAAAAAAGAAAAAAAAAGAGAAAATGTATGTTTAAAATTCTGTTATAAAAGATAGGTTGATTTCACTATTCTATAACCGTTGTATCTTATCTCTCTAACTTCTACCCTACAATGCCCCCTCCAAATATCATCCTGTATATCTTATAAATCATATCAGGTAGTTATAATAACCTGCTTATGTAAAGTGGTAATTTTTCCATTGTACTTTCTTAGTTAAAACAAAATAAATTATAACTGTTAAAACATTTTATAAATAGAGTACATGTATATATCAGTTTTAAAAATGTATAGAAAAACACTTGTTGTGTAGATTAAGACAGAATATATCACAAGCATGATAACCCAGGAAATGCTGAGGAACCCAAGATGATTTCTGTCTACAAAAGTATTCTTATTCTGGTAATATCATAATTAATCTTGCTCATGTAATAATTATAAATGTGTGATACTTTCGCCATTAAATCTCATGGCAGACAGGTGATACAGAGAAAATAAAGTTGGCAAAATCAAAGAAAGCAAGAATGTGTGTTCATAGGACACTTTGCCCCTGTCACAATAAAACATGACAGACAGAATCAAACTACATTCAACACATTCAGTCAGGATTCTACTTCGTCAAAATTATCTCCCCATTACGCCACCTAATTTTTAAAATCATAAAAATTGAAGCCATTGTAGTGATGACACGCTGTGAATTTAGCTCTTGAAAACCGATCAATTTATGAAGCCTTTTTGAAGTTATGCATTTTTAAGATCCACTTGTAAAGTCTGTCGTCAAGTACTTTTGTTATTAGAACACACCTACTCTGTTGTTATAAAAGTCATTAGAAAGATATTTCACTTGACCCATATATTTCATTTTTTAGTACTGTAAATTTTTTAAGTTTTTATATCAACCTATAGCCTAAATGTATATAAATAATAGAGTCTGAAGCGAGATGATACATCAAATATTTTTCTTTTATACGTTTTCAAGACAGAATAGTCAACTCAAACACGCCAGAACATTAAAAGGTGTACTCAGCTTTCTCTTTTCGATGAAATTATTGCCCATATGGGGATTTTTTTCTCAAAAACTGTAGCTGGGGGCAGAGATGCAAATTAATGCTTTAAAAAGATCAATCTATTATCTTTCTTTGGAATATTTTTCGGCGGAATTTATGCTTATGCACAAAAAAGATCCACATGTATTTGCACCTATCACAAACGACTGTTTTGTGAAATTTGTCTATAATTTAAAAGTTTACAAATATTTCAAAGCTCCAAACCATAATTTAAGTAAATACACATATATATGAGATGCATAAAATTCTAAATTAGGCCAACTAAAATTAATTAGATTTCATCCAGATTTTTGAAAAAAAAATGGGGCGGGTGGGAGGATTTTATTTTTGAATTTTTATTTCCTACAAAACCCTTTTGTGACATGTTCTTCATATGCACATGATGCACGGGTAATATTAATAAGCTTTTATCATGTATAATATATATGTAAGGAATCCTACATAATTTTTCAAATCCTAAAATGAATATTTCTGATTGGCAACTTCTAAAATGAAGCATTTGCATTGGTATTCAACACAAGTATTATGAGTACAGAGTGAAATGAAAACTCAAACTGTGTTGAAAATACATGTACACTACGGTTGATGCTTTAAAGATTTTTATGCAAGGTGAAAATATAATTACAATGTAGAACATGAACTAAACCAAAAAGAAGAAGTTGTTTATTGACTCTATTGAGGGGCTGGGGACAGAGGGTGTTTAATGTTTGTCAACAAAAACAGACAGCCTAGGGGTAAATCTTAGGGCTTGCTTTAATAGTAATACTATTTGTACGTTGATCGACTTTTTGTACTCAATATACGGTCATAAATCGCACAAGTTTGTGCTTGTGTCAATTTCTTTATTCCAGTCATGTTTTTTGTACTAATGTGTTCCACGATTCTTGTGCTTCGGATATCATTCACAGTCCAAATAAATAAATCCACGTTTTTCTAATCACAGAAATTTGTGACATATCGCGATTTGCGTTGTTGGACACCGCCTATTACTCATAACCCAAATATTTCATGCCCTTTTAGTATTCAATCTCTATTCTCGGAAGATAATGTTGCCATCATAGAGCAGCAGAATATGTTGACTTAATCATTTTGGTTAAATTACTCGAAGAAATACGAAACCCTAAATTTGCAATTCAGGAAGTTTTGAAATGAACAAAATCTGGAAATGGTAAATTTTTAGAAATAAAAAAAAATCAGGGCTGGACGATTTCAGAGGGGCGGGCGGGGATGAAAATTTATCAATTAATTTTAATTGGCCTTGTGCACATTCATTTAACTTTTAAAGCTCATAGAAACAGATGTAAACAATTCAAATTTACCAACTAGGCCTTTTTTACCTTCTCTAATCAAGAGTTCCATTTCTTAAGTTTAATTTCAACTGGGTTTCTGCCTAATTTACACAATTTTGGCTAATCAATGTGACCACCATTTTGTTTCTAGCTGTCAGAGGATTATAACAAAATTGAAGGTCTGCATATATATATGAACTAGAGGCTCTAAAGAGCCTGTGTCGCTCACCTGCATCTTCAACAATGGCCGTATTTTAGTAAAAATCATCATTAAAGGGGAATAACTCTATAAGAGTTAACTGATAATTTCAATCATGTTGACATGTTTGTAGATCTTATTCTGCTGATAATCATACCTTTTTAAAGTTTCTATTTATCTATTATAATTTTCAAGGTTATAGGCAAAAATTAAAAAAAACAAAAGTGCACACGCTGAAATGTCTCGCCTTCTTTACTAACCATTGATATTATGTTGATAGTCCTAAATATAAAGCTTTACTACAACTATCAACCTTACAATCATTCAATACACTTAAAATAGTTGACCTATTGCTTACAGTTTCTAAGAAACAGACTTAACCAAGAAAACTTAACATTGACCAATGAACCATGAAAATGCGGTCATGGTCAGATGAACCATGCCAGGCAGACATGTACACCTTACAATCAACCTATGCATTAAAAATAGTTGACCTATTGCTTATAGTATCTAAGAAACAAACTTAACCATGAAAACTTAACATTGACCAATGAACCAACAAAATGAGGTTAAGGTCAGATGATACCTGCCAGACAAACATTTACAGCTTACAATCCTTCTATACAAAAAATATAGTTGACCTATTGCTTATAGTTTAAGAAAAACAGACCAAAACACAAAAACTTAACACAGAGCAATGAACCGTGAAAAGAGGTCAAGGTCAAATAAAGCCTGCGAGACTGACATGTGCATCATAAAATATTTCCATACACCAAATATAGTTGACCTACTGCATATAGTATTAGAAAAAAAGACCAAAACTCAAAAACTTAACTTTGACCACTGAACCATGAAAATGAGGTCAAGGTCAGATGACACCTGCCAGTTGGACATGTACACCTTACAATCATTCCATACACCAAATATAGTAGACATATTGCGTACAATATAAGAAAAACAGACCAAAACACAAAAACTTAACTATAATCACTGAACCATGAAAATGAGGTCAAGGTCAAATGACACCTGCCAGTTGGACATGTACACCTTACAATCCTTCAATACACCAAATATACTAGACCTATTGCTTATAGTATCTGAGATATGGACTTGACCACGAAAACTTAACCTTGTTCACTGATCCATAAACTGAGGTCGAGGTCAAGTGAAAACTGTCTGACGGGCATGAGGACCTTGCAAGGTAGGCACATACCAAATATAGTTATCCTATTACTCACAATAAGAGAGAAATTAACATTACAAAATTTTTAAACTATTTTCAAGTAGTCACTGAACCATGAAAATGAGGTAAAGGACAATGGACATGTGACAGACGGAAACTTCGTAACATAAGGCATCTATATGCAAAGTATGAAGCATCCAGGTCTTCCACCTTCTAAAATATAAAGCTTTTAAGAAGTTAGTTAACGCCGCCGCTGGATCACTATCCCTATGTCCAGCTTTCTGCGACAGGCTCGACAAAAATGGTAAAATTCATCATTTGAGGGCAATAACTCCTATTAGAAGTTATCTGACAGTTTTTAACAATAGGTAGGTGCTCAACATTCTGAACATTATTTCTTTTTATTGCGTTTTTCAAAATATTAGGTAAAACTTGCATTTTACCCCTATGTTCTATTTTTAACCATGTCTGCCATTTTGGTTGGCAAGCAGGGTCATAGAACACATTTTTAAAACTAGATACCCCAATGATGATTGTGGCCAAGTTTGATTAAATTTGGTCCAATAGTTTCAGAGGAGAAGATTTTTGTAAAAGTTAACAGACGACAAAGGCTAACTAACGATGTACGGCAAGTCACGAGAAAAGCTCACTTGACTTTTCAGGCCAGGTGAGCTAATAAAAGGAGATGTGGAATATATGTATACCCTACAACACAAAAAAAGAAAATCCCCAAAAGATATATCTAAAGGTCAACATATGGTCAACAATAGAAAGGTGTCTTTACAATAACTGTCTAGAAAAACAGTGAACAAATTTAATAGAGACTAGTTTAGATGTGCCATCAACTCCAAATTTTCCCAAATAATAAAAAACAGATTTAAGACATGAAAAAGACAACTTTTAGTGAAAGTCCCAACTCTGGAAGGTTAATCTATTTTTTTCAAGTTCTCAAACCCTCCCCCTTTTAATCTGAGTTCGTAAAATAACAAAGCAGAATTTCACAGCATTAAAACAAGAGAAATGGTTTAGTATTGCTTCAAACAATAAGTCAGAGAATTGGTATTCATTCCAAAATATATGTGACACAGTGATTGAACAATAAAAGTCTAATAAGCCAAAAAGGAATATTTGAAGGACAAGTTTTAAATTTCTTTAAAATATATTGGTGATAAAAAAAAACTACTATGAACTAATGGACAGACTGACGTACAGACTAGAAAACATTATGCAGCCCTTTTGTTATAGGTGGAGCATAAAATTCTAAAAAAGTATTAGCGTCTAAGACTTTCAATAAAATTCCTTTCATTACAATGCATTAACAAAATTTAAAAATAATCACTACTTCTAAAATGAAAGCATACCCTGTGCATCTAACTTTTCCAAGTATTTTCTCACATGATCCCACAAAATGTAAATATAGTACTTTTGATTTTCATATTCTATCCTACCACCCATTCCAAACTCCTCTAAGAACAAGCTCAATACCATGTTATTAGCAGCCATTTCTGTTCTTGGCACACGACACAAGTATGGCATTTTATATGCCACTGGGTCACTGATCCATTCCAATTGCACACGAATGAAGAAATGTTTGACCTCCAAAACATTACCATCCATCTGTATGTCACACAGATGACGATAAACCCATTCTAAATAAGACTCTACTTCTAATTTGATTTCAACATAGGTCATAACAGAAGTTAGATGAATTGTCCGTGGAGCTTCAATACTTTGCATTGGATATGCCGATTTAGCCTTGCAAATCTTGTAAAGTTCTTTGGCTTCAACGAGATAATTATTTTCCCCACAAGCAGTCAGTAATGCCCTTATTGTCCTCCTGTCTAGATCTCTGGATACATTTGCCTGGGAATGGACTTTAAATGTCCAGCAACCAGCATGAAAATCCCCACATTCTAATGCTCCTATGATAAGTCTGTTCAGATCTTCTATGAAATCTGTAGAAAAAAAAAGATCAATTCTCATGATTCATATGCAATTGTTTTCTCTTCCTGACTTATATCCTGAACATGCATGAAATATTTGACTCTGGACGTTAAGCAACCAACAATCAATCAATCATTCCTGACATATATGTAAACCTCAGATCTGTGTACGGCCTCAAATCTGTGCCCCATCGTGATGTCAATCGCTAATCTATGTCCGTTAAAAAAGATACGGCCTCAAATCTGTGTCCTATTTTCAAATTTGTTTTCAATCGTGACGTCATTCGCAAATCTATGTTCGTTTAAAAGATACGGCCTCAAATCTGTGTTCCTTTCTTAAATCTTTTTCCAGTTTGTTTCGCCATGCACAAAATAATGCCCGTCTAATAAGTACGGCCTTATAGGATTTTTGTTTAATTAAGTCATTTCCAATAATTTAATGTTAAGTTGGGATGTGTTCTCCATGTGTGTGCTTAAAAATTTTACATGCGTGTGTAATTATTGTATGATTTACATTTTATTGTAAAACTACAACATTTTCAAATTGTTTGCTTTTCTTGATCCCTTGTTTAATTGTTCTGTAGTAATTATCGTTACTTCCCTTTACTCATTACGTCTTGATAACAAATACGAAATATTAGTTAATAAACAACCTGAGACAAAATGACATCTGTATACAAGCAACTAAAGATACATGTATGGACTTCAACAATGAATTGAACCTATTCTGTATCGTAATCTGTAAACACATACACCTATTTGTTCAATGTTTCAATGTATAGGTACCACATAAAAATGTTTAGGGTATAATTTATTGCCGGTTTAACAACGACATTTTGTGCCACTATCTTATTAAAAAAGTTTTTTTTCTGGTGAAACTATTCCGGTTTCGAATCTATGTATTTTTTAAAATCCATTGTGTACCATGACATCAACATTCAACAACCACAACATAATTCTGTGTACAAATTATTGGCATAACGAGCATACATGTTATTTTATTAATGTGCCTTCAAGAATGAAACTACACATATTTTTTACCTGATTACGTCCTGCTATGTCTTACGTCACCACATTTCGATAAAGGACATAGAGATTTAAGGTAATGAAGGACATAGATTTGAGACAATATAGGACATAAATTTGGAAGGTCTGTGACGCAATATTAAAAAGGACATAGATTTGAGGCTTACATATATAACTTAAATGCCATGTTTTTTTTTAGTTATTATCTTAATTTGAAAGTTACAACTTTGTATATCTATGAAGTATAAACCTCTGATAAAACGACATGTTTTTCTAAGTTGAATATAACTGTCTTATATAAAAAAGAAGATGTGGTATGATTGCCAATGAGACAACTCTCCACAAGAGACCAAATGACACAGAAATTAAAAACTATAGGTCACTGTACAGCCTTCAACAATGAGCAAAGCCCATACCGCACAGTCAGCTGTAAAAGGCCCAAAATGACAATGTAAAACAATTCAAACAAGAAAAACTAACTAATTGTCTTGATAAACCTAATTTTGTCACAAGTTCAATGATCATGATGATATTGTCTTGCCTCTGTAAAAACTCATGTTTGTCTGAAATTAATATAACACAGTCTGATCTTTAAAAACCCAATTTTGTCAGAGTTGAATGATATACTTTCTTATCTTGAACAACAATGTTAGTCCTGAGTTGAATACAATATTATTTTTTTATAAGACCCCATGTTTGTCTGAATTGAGTATGACAATGTCTTGTCTCGTAAAACCCTTTGTTTTTCTGAGCTGAGTATGACGTTGTTTTGTCCTGTAAAAACCTGTGTGTCTGAGTTGAACATGACATTGTCTGGTCTTGTAAAACCCAATGTTTGTCTAATTTGAATGACATTGTCTGGTCTTGTAAAACCCAATGTTTGTCTAATTTGAATGACATTATCTGGTCTTGTAAAACATCACGTTTGTCTGAGTTGAATATGACATGGGCTGGTCTTTTGTCAGAGTTGATTATGACATTGTTTTATCTATGTCCGAGTTGAATATGACATTGTTTAATCTTGAGTAAGAGCAACATCACCTTGCCTTGCATTGGAGTTGAATATGACATCACCTTGTTTGATGTCTGAGATAAATATGATGTTATTCAAAGTATAAATTTTCTCATTTCACATATTTTAACTAGATGTGTTGGAACGACATGTATTGCCCCACTCACAAATACAGCTTGAAGCCACTTGTAGGAGTGGAAATTTGAGAATGGAAGTCTGTATAACTGTTATTTTCACACAATTTTCAAAGTCCAAAGCCCGTAATTTCAGCAAAAAATCAGGGAAGCGGAACCAAACATAACCTAGATCTGTAACTCATCATATAAGACCAAAGCCCATAATGTTGACAATAATCAGCGGAATGGAACCAAATGTATGCTAGATCTGTAACTCATCATAGTAGACTCACATACTAATAAAATGCTTCGCTGGGGCGCAGCTTGATACGACCGCAGAGGTCGAACCATGAACAGTTGGGGCAAGTATGGACACAACATTCAAGCTTGATACAGCTCTGAATTTGGATTGTTTTTAAATATTTATCACAGCATAGGTTTCTGACACAGAAAGAATGTGGTCTAAGAATTTGAATTTTTTTAATTTACCTATTATGGTCCAATGTCCAAAATCAAAATACATGGTTAGATTCAGCATATCAAAGAACCCCATATATTCAATTTTTGTTGAAATCAAAAAAAGTTTAATTTTGGACCCCAACTTGGACCAACTTGAAAACTGGGCCCATAATCAAAAATCTAAACACATGTTTAGATTCAGCATATCAAAGAACCCCAAGAATTCAATTTTTGTTAAAATCAAACTAAGTTTAATTTTGGACCCTTTGGACCTCAATGAAGACCAATTTAAAAAAACGGGACTTAAAATTAAAAATCTAAATACACGGTTAGATTTGGCATATCAAAGAACCCCAATAATTCAATTTTTGATGAAATCAAACAAAGTTTAATTTTGGACCCTTTTGACCTCAATATGAACCAATTTGATAGCGGGGCCTACAAATAAAAAATCTAAATACATGGTTAGATTCAGCATATCAAAGAACCTCATATATTCAATTTTTGTTGAAATCAAACAAAGTTTAATTTTGGACCCCAATTTGGACCAACTTGAAAACTGGGCCCATAATCAAAAATCTAAATACATGTTTAGATTCAGCATATCAAAGAACCCCATATATTCAATTTTTGTTGAAATCAAACAAAGTTTAAATACTGGACCCTATCTTGGAACAACTTGAAAACTGGGCCCATAATCAAAAATCTAAACACATGTTTAGATTCAGCATATCAAAGAACCCCAAGAATTCAATTTTTGTTAAAATCAAACTAAGTTTAATTTTGGACCCTTTGGACCTTAATGTAGACCAATTTAAAAAACAGGACCCAAAATTAAAAATCTAAATACACGGTTAGATTTGGAATATCAAAGAGCCCCAATAATTCAATTTTTGATGAATTCAAACAAAGTTTCATTTTGGACCCTTTTGACCTCAATATGAACCAATTTGATAGCGGGCCCACAAATAAAAAATCTAAATACATGGTAAGATTCAGCATATCAAAGAACCCCATATATTCAATTTTTGTTGAAATCAAACAAAGTTTAATTTTGGACCAACTTGAAAACTGGGCCAAAAATCTAAAATCTAAATACATATTTAGATTCAGCATATCAAAGAACCCCATATATTCAATTTTTGTTGAAATCAAACAAAGTTTAATTTTGGACCCCAACTTGGACAAACTTGAAAACTGGGCCCATAATCAAAAATCTAAACACATATTTAGATTCAGCATATCAAAGAACCCCAAGAATTCAATTTTTGTTAAAATCAAACTAAGTTTAATTTTGGACCCTTTGGACCTTAATGTAGACCAATTTAAAAAACGGGACCCAAAATTAAAAATCTAAATACACGGTTAGATTTGGCATATCAAAGAACCCCAATAATTCAATTTTTGATGAATTCAAACAAAGTTTAATTTTGGACCCTTTTGACCTCAATATGAACCAATTTGATAGTGGGGGTCCACAAATAAAAAATCTAAATACATGGTTAGATTCAGCATATCAAAGAACCCCATATATTCAATTTTTGTTGAAATCAAACAAAGTTTAATTTTGGACCCCAATTTGGACCAACTTGAAAACTGGGCCCATAATCAAAAATCTAAATACATGTTTAGATTCAGCATATCAAAGAACCCCATATATTCAATTTTTGTTGAAATCAAACAAAGTTTAAATACTGGACCCTATCTTGGAACAACTTGAAAACTGGGCCCATAATCAAAAATCTAAACACATGTTTAGATTCAGCATATCAAAGAACCCCAAGAATTCAATTTTTGTTAAAATCAAACTAAGTTTAATTTTGGACCCTTTGGACCTTAATGTAGACCAATTTAAAAAACAGGACCCAAAATTAAAAATCTAAATACACGGTTAGATTTGGAATATCAAAGAGCCCCAATAATTCAATTTTTGATGAATTCAAACAAAGTTTAATTTTGGACCCTTTTGACCTCAATATGAACCAATTTGATAGCGGGCCCACAAATAAAAAATCTAAATACATGGTAAGATTCAGCATATCAAAGAACCCCATATATTCAATTTTTGTTGAAATCAAACAAAGTTTAATTTTGGACCCCAGTTTGGACCAACTTGAAAACTGGGCCAAAAATCTAAAATCTAAATACATGTTTAGATTCAGCATATCAAAGAACCCCATATATTCAATTTTTGTTGAAATCAAACAAAGTTTAATTTTGGACCCCAACTTGGACAAACTTGAAAACTGGGCCCATAATCAAAAATCTAAACACATATTTAGATTCAGCATATCAAAGAACCCCAAGAATTCAATTTTTGTTAAAATCAAACTAAGTTTAATTTTGGACCCTTTGGACCTTAATGTAGACCAATTTAAAAAACGGGACCCAAAATTAAA